GGAAGAGATTAATGGGGGGGAAAGGAGGACCTATGTAATACTTTCAACAATAAAGTTATTTTTTAAAGTAAAAATATAAATAAATAAAACATCTCTCTGCTTACTGCTGTTGAAATGATTTTACCAAGGAAAAGAGGCTGTTTCACATATATACATACAAAAGTGGATAAAAAGAAAATGCTTTCGGTTTGTGCAGATTTTACTACACTCTAAATTACCAATTGCATGTCCTCATTAATTGAAGACTTCCATCAACTTGTGATCTTTACTTCAACTCCTGATATAAGTGACATCAGTGTTCATCTACAATCTGCATTTCTTAATTCTTCATATAAGAATCACCTGATGAACTTTTAAACACTGATGTCCAGATCCTACCTGCAGATAATTATGACTTAACTAGAGGCCCAGTACACAAAAATTTGTGCATCTGGGGGGAAGGGGGGGCGCAGGGGGGTGAAAGTCCTCAGCCCGGCCTGTGTCCTTCACAGTCTGGGATCTCTCTGGGGATGATCACCTGCTGGCTTAGGCCCGGTCCCAAGCTGGCAGTCAGACATCCCTCTGGCAGCCCGGGAGCCCTCGGGGGATGTCCACTTGCCAGTGGGGAGCAGGCCTAAGCTACAGTCTGACATCCTTACTGCTGCTGAGGAGGTGGGAGAGGCTCCCACCACCACTGCTGTACTGGCAGCCGTCAGCCTGGTTTGTGGCGAAGCAGAGCTCCCCCTGTGGGAGCGCACCGACCACCAGGAGGCAGCTACTGCATTGAGTGTCTGCCCCCTGTGGTCAGTGTGTGTCATAGTGACCAGTCATTCCCAGTTGTTCTGCTGTTAGGTGCCGGAAGCCGGTACATCCTTGTTGCTTGACACAGTTGCTGCAGGGAAGAAACATCTGCACAGCATATGTTTCAAGGGACCTGGCGTATACAGCCTGTTCTTAATATGTTTGCTCCCCTTCTTGGCACTATGTGTTTTAACTAAGGTCACCTCTCCAAGAAAGGTTGTTTCCCCAGATAGGGATTTTTCCCTTAAGTTAGGGAGGGAATAAAACCCCTTAACTAAGTGCCAGGCGGGTAGTTAATCACTTTAACTATGAACAATCACGCTTAAGCTACATAGTCTTTACTCACTAGAATGGAGATAAGATACACCCTAACCTTTAGAATAGAAATTGATAGGATTAAAATCAACTGGTATAAGTACAGATGTAACAAGACAACATGACACAGAACCTGGCTGGAGAGCCTGACTAGAGAACCTGGCTAGGCTGCTGATCAACTGAACGGAGCCTCCATGTCCTTTATTCTTCACCAATTCCGTCCACACCTTTGGGAACCCCGGGACCTACTGGGGCTAGACCCCAACAGTTAGGGTCATTTTGCATATTACCCTTTTATTATATAGGATAGAGGCCTGGTGCATGGGTGGGGGCCGCCTGGTTTGCCCTGAAGGGTGTCCCAGATCAGGGTGGGGGTCCTGATGGGGTGCCTGGCCAGCCTGGGTGAGGGGCTGATGGCTGTTTGCAGGCTGGTCACACCCCCGTTAGGGTGGAGGTCCCCACTGGTGTGCCTGGCCAGCCTGGGTGGAGGGCTGATGGCTGTTTGCAGGCTGGGCCAGCACC